CAGGAGTGTGGTAAAAAACCCTAGATCACCTATTTGGATTCTTATTACCCAAGTTACTAAGAATATTACCAGTGGCATACAGGGAGCTTAGCCAATGAGCGGTCAGAAAAGGTGTTTCCTCTGTAGTTCACACCAATCACTGGCTCAGGCCTGATGCCTCTGGCCAAGGCGTCAGGCCTGGGCAGGGCACCCCCATCTCCCTCCCATGGCCTGCTCCGCCCTTGCCCAGGCCTGACGCCTCAGCCAGAGGCGTTGACCCCCATCACCCTTCAATCACCTGATCGGCCCCTTGCCCAGGCCTGATGCCTTGGCCAGAGGCGTCAGGCCTGGGCAGGGGACCCCCAGACCCCTCCGATTGCCAGCTCCGCCCCCCGCCCAGGCCTGACATCTCGACCAAAGGCGTCGACCTCCATCACCCTCCGATTGCGGGATCGGCCCCTTGCTCAGGCCTGATGCCTCTGCCAGAGGTTTCAGGCCTGGGCAGGGGACCCCCATCTCACCGCCCCCCCATCACTGGCTTCTGGGCGGCTTCTGGCGCTTCTGGGGCCAGCCTGCGGCCCGACGGGTGGCAGGCCGGCGGCTTCTGAAGTGGGTCATTTTAGGACAGACGTAGGACAGACGGGCTCCATAAGAACTCGTGTTGCTCGCTGACACTCGGGGAAGGGCAGGGGAGAGGCTGGCCGTCCCTGTGTGCCCGCAGACAGCGCGTCCCCACTCGGGCCCGTGTTTGCTCCTTGTTCCACCAACAGTGCAGACACCTAGCAGAGTGTGTGCTGTTGAACCAGGTTCAACTGTTGACTCCACCTGCCAGGTGTGAACTGCTGGGCAAGTTAGCTTCTCTGGGGCCTCAGTTACCCCATCTATAAAATGGGACGAGTGTTCACAGAATAGTTATAGGTCCATTCTAGGGTTAAAAGAGTTAAACCTGACTGAGTAGGAAGCTAATGAGTGTGGCCCATTATTCTGCTTTTGCAAAATCAGAAAGAGGGGAGTCTGACTAGCCACTGGGCTCCGTGCGCTCGTGAACAGCCTGTGACTTGACAGGAGAAAACGGAGGCCCAGGAAGGGGGGTGACACGGCTGGGGTTCTCACGCCCATTGGCGAGCTCTCCCAGTTCTCAGCAACAGGGAAGGGTGTGGAATCTTCTTAGTGCTGCTCTGCTCTCATAGATTGTTCTTAACCAGACACAGTCTGGCTCCTGGTGAGCCCTGGGCGGTGGAGGAGGGGGTGCTGAGAGTAGCTGGCTAGTGGGATAGGCTTCTTAGGGTGCCAGGTGCTGGAGACAGCGGGGAACAAGGTGGACCCAGTCCTGCCCTCTCAGAGCTCAGAGTCCTGGGGTGACAGGTGATCAAGCAGTTTCACCATGGGGAGAGCAGTACTGCGGGGGGCACATGGTGCCAGAGATGACTCAGGAGGGCACGGGAGGCTCCTGGAGGATGTGACCACAGAGCTGAGCCTTCAGTGCAGGTGGAAGTGACTCAGAGTTTGGCCCAGATCGTGCTGGTGCTGGGCCCCAGGGAGCTGGACGGGCCTCAGAGAAGGTGCCGGTGCCCAGGGGAGAGAGCCAGGGAGGGAAGCCTTGGACCCAGAGGCCCTCAGGTCTGAGCGGTGCCCACCTCACCTTCCCCCTCCTTTCCCTCTAGATCGAGGCACTGCCCCCGGAGCTCTTCCAGTGCCGGAAGCTGCGGGCCCTGCACCTGGGCAACAACGTGCTGCAGTCGCTGCCCTCGCGGGTGGGCGAACTGACCAACCTGACCCAGATTGAGCTGCGGGGCAACCGGCTGGAGTGCCTGCCCGTGGAGCTGGGCGAGTGCCCGCTGCTCAAGCGCAGCGGCCTGGTGGTGGAGGAGGACCTGTTCAACACGTTGCCACCCGAGGTGAAGGAGCGGCTGTGGAGGGCCGACAAGGAGCAGGCCTGAACCGTGGCGGACCACCGAGCACAGGGCTGGCCCGCAGTGGCCAGCAGTGGGACCACCGGCACTTCCTCCAGCCCAGGAACCCAGAAACCCTGGGACAAACCGGCCCGGCCTCTCGGCCAGGCAGGAGCCTGGGGTTGGCCATGAGCTGGGCCAGGGTGATGGGCAGTACCTGAGGGGCTGGCCCCTTTTCTCCCTTTGAGACTGTGCCCCACAGGCGCCTGCTGGGGAGATAGACACCTGTCATCTTTCTCAGAGCTCAGTGTTCGGACAATCAGGCCTCCGCCCTGGAGGCCATCTCTGCCCCAGAGGCTGAGCCCATGCCAGAGGCCCAGGACATCAACTTAGCTCTTGGTATTTATTTTTTCCCGCCTCCCGCTCCCTCCCTCCAGATAACTTACACATTCCCAGGAAAACAGCTCACAGGGGGTGTGAGGAAGAGTGGGCTGTTTTGCTTTTCCTTTGTGGCGCCGCCGCCAGCATTTAGTGCCCACCCAGACTTGAGCAGAGTGGCCAGGGTGAGCCAGCTGTGGACGGTCACCCCGTGGTGCCATGCTGGGCTCTGGCGGCCCAGCCCGTGGAGAGCAGGCCACCAGGTGGGCAGGCCAGGCCTGGGGCTTGCCTCACCTGCTTTGGATTTTTTTTTTTTTAAGTAAAACATTTTTTAAGCTTTGAAAATTGAGGGTTTGGGTATTAAAAAGAAAAAACTTAAAAAAAAAAAAAAGACACTAAAGGCCAGTGAGTTGGAGTCTCAGGGTGGGCGCAGCTTCCCGGCAGGACTGAGTGTTTCCTCCCCCCGGGGTGTCTTCCGAATCTGGTGACCTTGGTCCAGAGTTCTCTTTGTTCCTCTCCTCCCCTGGGGGCGGGCGGGGGGGCTTTTCTGTTTTGTTTTTGGTGTCTTGTTTTCCTTCTCCCCCATGTGTCTTGGCAGGCGCTCACTTCTGTGGCCGTTGGCCAGAGGGAATGTTCTGGAGCTGCCAAGATGGGAGGAGACTCGGGTTGGCTAATCCCGGACGACGGTGCTCCATCCTCCCTGTCCCTCGTCACAGTGTTAAGGAGCCAAGAGGAGCTACCTCGCCCGGACCCTGCTTCCCACCTCATGTGTCATGAGTGTGCCCAGTGCCACCACTCGCCCCAGCTGCTTCCGTCAGCACAGACTGTGGGAGGAGGCGGGGCTGCGGGTGGGGGGGTCGCCCCTGGAAGAGCAGGCTCCCCAGGTTTGGGTTCCAGTTTCTGTCCCAGGCGCCTGCACACGTGGCCCACTCGGTGCCTGGTGGTGAGAAGCCACCTCACTTTAGATCAGTCAGCGGGGTCCCCGCCTTGGAGCAATCACTTGGACACTAAGGCACGTTTTAGCGTCTCTTGTCTTAACGATCACGTCTCTGTCCATTTGTGTGTTCTGCGTCGCGTCATTGAATGTTACCCTTGGCATAACGCACACTAGCCTCCGACAACCACGAAGCAGTCCGTTACATGTGGGTCTGAACTTGTAGACTCGTTCAAATATCAAATAAATCTGTAACAGCAAGCAGTCTCCGGAGGGCTCCATGTTGTGGGGAGACCCTCCCCTCAGCTCAGAGGACCGTTTATTGGGGCCCTACAAGATCGGTAACTGCTCTTCTCACCGCCCGTGGACGTGAGCCGGACAGAGCACCTGCTGAGGGTGGGCGTGGGCCCGGCCAGGGGTTCCACAGCCAGCAGGCGCCCTGCCGGCCGGTTGCCTGTGGTTGGGGCCCTCATGAGCTTTGCTGGGGGGGGCGGGGAGGGCACCGAATGGGAGCCAGTCGTCTCAGGACCGTGTCCCAGGGCCGTCATCCCTGCAGGAAGCTGGGCAGATGCTTTCCTTCCCGTGGCCTCCTCGTCCCCATCTGTACAACGGGAACTTCCTCTCTGTGCTCTCGTAGGTTCTTGTCATTCCAACAGTCAGTCCCCAGGGCTTGGCAGAGGGGGGCTGAAGTGACCCTGGGCCCTCAGTGACCTCGGGGGCCTGCTGAAGGTGCTGGGGTCAAGGGCAGAGGCTTGGGGCTGCCTCAGATCTTAGCTCTGCTATTCTGATGTGAGGCCCCAGTTTCCTCATCTGTAAAAGGGTGGTGTTGCAGGATTGTTCTGAGGCTGTCTCATGAGAATGATGCAGGTGGGGGTGGGGGTGTCTTCACAGCGGGCTTTGCCGCTGGAACCCAGTAAAGGACCTTTTCCTCTGGACCAGTGAGGCTTGTGCTGGGCGGACATGGGGCCCTGGGGCAGGGGTCTTTTGGTGAAGAAGGGCATTGTGTCTGACCTTGGCCTTAGTGATGAGGCCTTGGGCACCTCCCCCAGCACAGGCCAGAGTCTGTCCTTGGTCCATGGGCTATAATCTGCACGCCCCCCCCCACCCCCCCAAGGAACCTCAGGATGGGCTGTCTGATAGCTGAGCAGCTGGGCCTGGGTCCCTCTAGGGTCCCACCTGAGTCTCTACTCCACTGTGAGTGGAGGTCTTCCCCTTTCTCTGGTCTGGCCACTCCCTACCCTCCCATGCCTGTCCCCGCCTCCCCCCTCCCCCAAGCATTGTGGCCGCCCAGTGTCCAGAGCAGGAGTGTTTGATCTGGAGCTGGTTAGCTTTTGGAGAAAACAAACACCACCCACCCACTGCTCAAAACCTGAGCGGGCCCTGGCTGGTTTGGCTCGGTGGATAGAGCGTCGGCCTGTGGATTGAAGGGTCCCAGGTTCAATTCCGGTCAAGGGCACAGGCCCGGGTTGCGGGCTCGATCCCAGTTGGAGGGTGGGCAGGAGGCAGCCGACCGGTGATTCTCTCTCATCATTGATGTTTCTGTCTCTCTCTCCCTCTTCCTCTCTGAAATCAATAAAAATATATTTTAAAAATTTAAAAAAATTAACAAACAAAAAACTGAGCAGAATAAATGAACAAATCTCGGGAGACCCAGTTCCTCCCCCTCCCCCCTCCCCCTGCCCGCCAGGATTCTCCATTTAAAACCCAGTGGTTGTCTTTTCTCTGATTGCAGTAGCAGTTTGGAAAATTTGGGGGAAATTCAAAAAATAAAATAAAAATGCCCCACATTCTACCCAGAACAGCCCCGCTAGCCTTTGGGGCATAGTTGGTAGGCATTTGTAGGCATTTACTAGGTGCCAGGCCCATGCCAAGCTCTATTAGCGGTAAAGTATTCGTCGTCCCCCTTACAAGAGAGGGACTTCTGTTGTCCCCAAATTACAGATGGGGAAAGTAAGGCCGGGCGTGGATGGAGCCCAGGCTGCTCTGAGGTTCCCAGGGGAGCTCTTAGTCCCTCACGGTGGCCTTCACTGCACTCCTGGCACATGTCTCTATCCGCTGGGTGGCTGCATCGAAGGGGCCAGGCTAGCCAGTGAGCTGAGTCCCAGCTATATCTCCCATCCCCTCCCCTCCCAGCCTAACCCTGCGAACCTCTTGTCCTTCCAGCCCCAGGAGCTCGGAGGGGCTTACCCTCCCCCGCCCGCCTAGGGAGCCTGGGACCACGCAGCTGCTCCCAGTGCGGTGGCCCAGGAAACAAAATTTGACTCTGGGCCAGGGCTCCTGAGGGCCGAGCTGTGTCCCTGTCTCACCCCTGAGACACTCTGTCCCTTCGCCATTCAGAAAGCATCACTTCAGGGAAGGCCAGTGGCCGGTTTTTCAGAAGCTGCAGCCAGAACGGCCCTGTGTACGGCTGAGCAGGGCTGGTAGAAGGGTGGGTGGGCATGCTGTTCCCACTCCTGGCCTCCACTGTGCCAGCCTAGCTTGAGACACCAAGCTCCTTGGGCCTGGAGGTGGGGAACCGGAACCGGGCTCTCCCTCATTCTGAAGACCCAGGCCCCCACTCTCTAGCCTCTTCCTCC